CTACTTAGAGCATATTGAAAATAGTTTATAAATAGTTTAAATAACGAAAATAGATGGAAAATAGTGATGGATAAATATGTGTAATATTTGTAGGTTCCTTGAAATGTGTAGATAAAAAATAATTTGACTATTTATAATAAACCATTTATAAACATGAGCCAATTATAGATTAATATTTTGAAATTCTAAATTACCATATAAAAAAGGAAATGTAATTATAAAAAAAAAAAATTATAATAAAACAAGAATTAGTAAAAACAGGCAAATATGGAAAGACAAACGGGGAGTTTCCAAGAAAAAGTTTGAAAACCAGGCGATGAGAACTTGCACTACAAGTATATGGAAAAAATAAGTACATGACAACGTTTTTTTTTTCCCTTTATTTATTTAATTTATTAAGGAAGCCTTGCTTATCGTGGAAAGATTATAAATCTCTCTTCAAAAGAACGGATTGATTTGTTATTACTGTGGGTTGAAACGTTGCTTGATATGAAGATTCAAATAAGACTGAAAGTGGATAGAAATAGAGAACATATGGATTAATCTGGTAGGATTCTCCGTAGCAGAATCAAGTATATCTAAGCTGCCTCTCAAACACTTTAGTAATTATAGGTGCTTAAAATTTCTCTGCTAACTTATCATCACCCTGGAAATCTCATGCTTTTGCTCCAACTCGGGCAGAAGAAAAAGATTTCTATCCTAAGACTAAGAAAATCAATATGCTTAAAACTAGGACATATCGCTTTGGTATGAATTGTTCCTAATCTCGGCGGCTCCAATAAAAATGATCTATGCCAAGAGATCACGGGCTGCCAACTGTGATAACTTAGGAAGAAGTTGCTTCACCAGAATCTGAGAAAGGAACAGATAGGTTGATTCACCAGGATGAATGCTATCCCAGAATAAGTACTTGGCGTGGTTTCTACAAACTGGAGTTGAGTGAGTACAGAGAGGACCAGCTTCCAGTAGTCCAGTTCCACAGCACCCTCTTCTGACTTCCACAAAATCTGTACTACACAAGAAACATTTGAGCATCTCAACATTTGAAGTGCTTAAACATTATCAACAACTTGACATGAAAGCTTTAGAAATGAAAGTGTTATCCCAAAAATAGGCCCTCGTGGTAAAGTCACTTGAAGAATGACCCTCTCTTCCAGGAGAAAATCTTCCACGGTGCGACAGCCCTATCATGGTGTGCCACCTTGTTATGTGGCCCACCACACACCCCCAAGGTGTGTGGGCCACCCATCGAGGTGGCACCTCAGCATTGGGCGGTCACACCGTCCACGTGGTGCAACCGACCCAAGGAAGATTTTCTCCTCTTCCGGGCCACCTGCTTGTGCCTCATGTTAAATCAAGAGGAGCGGAGCTCCCCTCAAAGAATGGTGATACTATGAGAATAATCTGCCAAAGCAGCTTTTCAAAAAGCATCCAAATTGAAAGGAAGAAAAAATCAGTGTCCTTATACGATGTATTGGATGAACAGAGATTAGCAGATCTTGAAGGTTTACCATATTTTTTTGGGTTATCAATCATATCCGTAAGAATAGCGTATATGTCTGCATAGAGGATTTTGCTCCTTAGAAGTTCTCGCTGTATTTGTGGAAGCAACTTTTCTAGCCTGTTGTTGTAAGACAAGGCATCTGAATTCTCCTTGTCGATGCAATTTCTCAGAATTGGAGACTTGGCTGTGATTTGGATTGGCAGACAACCTATTGGAGGAAGCCCTGATACAATTATCCTACGGCACCCAAGATCATACAGTTCCTGCAAGTTCAAATTAAGGTAGAATTTAACAAAGTGCCGTGATGCAATGGATTTTGTTATTAAAACTTTTTACGGTTTAGAAAGGATCATAAACAATTAGACATATAAAAAACTTTGAAAACGATAGAGTGTACGTTCGACTATTCTTGGTACTTGTCAATTAGTTAACTGTAGACATTGAGTTAAATGGCCCTACATTTAGTATAATACAAAATTTAGACTTTTTCAAGTCTTGCAAAAGAAATGGCCTGCTGTAGACCTAAGTGGAGAGGCGGTTTAATAAAATAATACCTAGCTCTCAAGTGAAGGCTTTGATGGCTCAAGGTTCATATCAGGTAAAGGAAAGTGAGGGGAAGAGGAGCCGCCTTGGGCCAGGCAGCAAGCCGAGGATCTGATGTTGTTGAGACTAAGAGTATGTTTAGCAAAGTTTATAATTGTTTGTAAGTTAGTCATACTCTATTTTTAACTACAGATTCCTTAAAACCACAATTTTTTCCTGCTTTTTAACTATACATTCACCGTTGACATGCAACACTGCTGAAAGAAACCGAATCACATGCACCATGAAACCTCGAGCATGGCACCAGAAGACAGGGCAGCAGTAGTTTGAGACAAAATACTATAGACTATAATCAAAACATCTTTATCACTGACTTTGGACAACTCTGTGTGTGTGTGTGAGAGAGAGAGAGAGAGATTGGACCTTAATAAAAATTTGCAGCTTATTTAGCAGGAAGCTTTGGTACTGTGTGATGTCGAATTCAAGCCCTCTTGTGGGTATGTCGTAGTAGTTAAAAATGAAGTCATTTGGTCCGGCACTAACAATAACCAAAGCACTAGCAGCTATTCTTCGAGCCTCCTCTTCACCAACAAATCTCTTAAGCCTCTGCATATAATCCTTAAATAATTCCACCTGCTTCGACATCGGGATTACATGAGAAATAGCTGTTGTAAGCTCGTCATATCCCGACCCTGCTGAAGCAAAGCTGACTCCAGTAATTAGCTCAGCATCTGATATGTTTGGCTGCAGGAATGGAGGAACAGTTTCCTTGATGCCTAACATGGATGCCAAGATATCAGGTACGAGTTTTCCATTTGAAAACCGCCCGGTAGGAATGTGGCCTGGAAAATCGATGCCATACGGTAGATGATTGCCTTGGAATGGTGTGAGTATGTAGTTATTATTCCCTGTATCAAGGGTCGAATCACCAAATATAAGAATGGCTGGGAATTTTGGCATGCTTTCACCATTGCCTGTGTTGGTGATGATGCAGCCAATTTGCACTGCCAACATAAAGAAGAGGGCAGTAGAAGCCATTGATGTATAACCAACCCTTTTTGTTTAGAAATTATAGTATTTTATGGCAAAAATCTGAAAACACACTTACACACATATATACACATAAATTGCACACGTGTATTTCACTTTTTCAAACAAAACTATTACTTATTTTGATAGAAACTTTGACTTTACTATCAAATATAGGTAACACCTTAATTAATGCGAAAGAATAATACTATCTGACACCATTGTGTTGAACACCAGTCTAGGTGTCATTATCTCATAAATTTGATTAAATGTGTCATAATTCTTTGTATTTATTTGAACAAGTAATTTAATGCACTTAGTGTTGTCATTTCACTTTTTCAAACAAAACTATTACTTATTTTGATAGAAACTTTGACTTTACTATCAAATATAGGTAACACCTTAATTAATACGAAAGAATAATACTATCTGACACCATTGTGTTGAACACCAGTCTAGGTGTCATTATCTCATAAATTTGATTAAATGTGTCATAATTCTTTGTATTTATTTGAACAAGTAATTTAATGCACTTAGTGTTGTTACTTAGACTGGTATTAGACATTAGTGGTGTTAAATAACGTTACTCGATATGAAAAGGTAAACTTGTCATTTCCTAGATGAGAAAATTATTTATTTTGAAAGTTACTTAATTACTTATGGTGAGTAGGAGAAAAGAAATAATGATGAATATAAGGTGTGAAGTTACCATGTGTTAATGTGTAAAGGTTTGGTATGTTTGTAATGTCTTTCGTTGTACTTCTGAAATTACTAGGAACTTGAAATGTGTCTGCACAGAATGTTATGACAAGATTTTGTTGGCAAGTAGTGCCCTATCTTGATGGAAATTGCCTTTCTTCACTTAAATTCTAAGATATCTATACAACCACTCACGAAATTATCGGTCACATTTGGTTCAAGTATTCTGCAAGAAGAGTGTAGAGAGTATTCTGCACATTTTGATTTTTTGTGGTGATTTTGTGTTCCGATATCTTACTAGTGAAACTTTTAGTTTAGTAACTTCTCTTTGTATATGTTTGCTTTAGCTTATAATTAGGTAACTCTTTTTTAGTTTGAAGTGAAAAGAGTTATCATTTGAATAGGGAAGATGTCTTATTATCTAAATAAGTAGCTCTGAATTAAATTTGATTATAATAAAACGGTTGTACTACTTGAACAGGCCACCTCAGCTCCTCTGAAAATAGACTTGGTGCACCCCTACTTTCCTATTTTCAGAGGGGCTGAGGTGACGCTGCTCAAGTTGAATAATTCAGAGACAACTTAAAATAAGAGTAGTTCTATTTAACTCCACTGAAATTATAACCTTAGTCTATGTGATGTCAATGTGTCATGAAATAATAAATTAGATGAAATAAGTCATTTAATTTCACATTTATTTAATAAATCATTTGATGCCACATTAGTGCCACATAGACTGCGATTATAATTTTATTGGAACTAAATAACATTATTCTTAGAACAATGCCATACCGACCGACGCAAGGGGTGACATGCGGTCACTTAACCACTCAACTTTTGTGCATTTTTTTACCATCATTAATTATATGTTTTTGTCTCAATTTTTGAGTCATTATGTTAAATGAAGTCAAAATATTGAATTCTTAATACCATTTTGAAGTGTTTACATCCTAGTTTTTCATGTTGTTAACAGTTCACAAAATGGCCAATCGTAACAAATGTTAAAACTTGTCAAAATAGCTAGTATTTCGATAATTTTGATAACATCCTAACTTTAAAAATTCTCCGACGATCGTACGCTAACCAAATCCATAAATTGCCTAAGTCATCTTGGAACTCGTTTCGATAACTACATCATAGACATATCTAATGATCCAAATAAACATAAAAAATAGTTAAAGGTATGTCAAACATGCATCTTAAAAAGAGACGTCTAATTCGTCATTTTTTTTACATAAAACATTTTCGAAATTTTACATTCGAAAAAAGTCATACCCCATGTAAATTTATATAGAGTATGATTACATTGGGGTTTGACTTTTTTCGAATGTAAATTTTCGGGTGTAAAATTCTTCACGACTCTTTTACAAGTTTGATTGTATCTCTTAACTCAAAATATTTACGTCCGCATACTTGTTTCATATTTAATAATATATTTGTTTCACATATATTCAAATCCATTATATATCCCTGGCTATTACGTTTTGCATTTTTTATCTTTGCAGTTGTTGCGGAAGCTCTCTCAAAAGGATCTTCAAACGGTGGTTTTTTAGGCTCAGTCCAACGTACCTTTCTCTACCAACAACCAGTCTGAACGGCTCCAAACCACAACCAATTGATTCACCTTGGTTGCTATACAATCTTATCCACGTAGGATAAGAAGGAATGATGATTTATCGCCACAAAGGCTAAGAGAAGACACCACAAAGGTATACTATGAAAGAACCACCAATTGCACACGTTATACAAGCGTTCTGGATACTTCTGGACACCTTTTTCTCACACAAAAGGGGGGCAGCCGATTCACTAGTTTCTTCTCTCAAAATCACACAATCATCATATCAAAGAGGCTAGGGTTATATTCATATATATACTCTAGGGTTAGGCTTTAAGTTGGACCATTAAAGGGGTAAACGGGCCAAGATTCAAGCCATCCATAAGGAATACAATTGGGCCGGGTGTAGTTCATGGACTTGGTTGTTGGACTTATTTCATTCATCGATCTATGCCTATGAAATAATATTAACCTACGTTAACATCATAGCCCGGGATTTACTAGGTATCAAAAACCCAACAGCAGTATTTTTCAGTCTTTTGAAAATTAACTACCAGAGAACAAAGTCCATATTGCGAACTTCTTAAACATTAAATAGTATTTTATTTCCAGAAGTACCTAATCATTTTCTTGGCTCTTATAGCTTTCTCTCTGCACGCTCCACGCCATGTCGCAATATCCATAGCCAGAACCACGATAGCTTTAACTACCGGTCTACCACCACCATTTCCATTACCATGGTGCTGCTTCGCCACCCCCATACACTCCAACAGCATTTTGTGAATAATTATGAGGATAGCTAGGATCAAAATGAACTTGTTGCATGATTGTTCAAGAATCAATAAAATGCGTGTGGAATGAAAATGAAAATTAATGGTCAAAACCTTGACCTATATGACCGCATAGGCCTTGTAAGGGTGCGGTCGCATGGTACATTGTAGGGCCTAAAGGCCCTGCTTTTGGACAACCTACGCAGTCGCATAGGCTTGCTTTATGCAACTGCATAGGGAAACAAAAATAGCCGCTAGGGTCTTTTTTGATTGAATTTTGTTGGCTTTTCATCTTGTTTATGCACCATTTCGTGGAATGTTGTTGAAACCTATAAATATGTGTTCACTGATCAATACGGAGAGATATAAGAAACAACTGAAAACATAGAGCAACACTAGAGATTATTTTCCTTATTTCAAGAGCATTGAAATTCATTTTTCTTCATATTCATATTCTTATTCTCATTTTGTAATCTCAAGTTTTGGAGGATTTCACTAATACTTGAGTGTTAAATTCTTGTCAATGCCTGATAAATTTTGCAAACCGTTTGCCAATATCCCTTCAAGCATCTAAATTCAATTCAAGAGGGGATAAATATCGTTTGAGAACAACGATAATGTGTTTCGGGCTTTCATCGTCATCTTCATATTCATTTTTTTGTCTTTTGCTACTTGTTTCTTCTCCATCCCTTTGTGAAAATAATATTTTCCAACGGAACTTAGGATCCAAAAAGTTAACTTAAAATGCAATAAGTTTAAAAAAAATAATAATAATATTGACAGCAAAAACATGATTCTGACACATTAGAGAACTGCAATGCTCCCGCTAGGAAAACTGCGTCAAGTTGGCAATCAATCTCGGATAATTTTCTTGAATGCAGCTGAAAATCACCAGCGATGAACAAAAACTTGGGATTCCATAATTCAGCATTCACATTTCAGATACTCATCAGATTTCAGGAAATTCAACATTGAACTATACAAAAAGAAAGAGCAGTAATTCGAGAGAGAACCAGCAAGACACGTTACATGATGAAAATACTATGGGCCACTATCGTTAATATTTCGATGAACTCTAATTTATAGCAACATGATATAATTGTTGACTAATGAAGAATGATGACAGGAAAGTGCATACTACGTCATTGTAGTTACTCCAGTTATTGAAATAAGGTTTTGTACCCTGAATGAACAATTTATACAGACACATGCACCAGTCCGCACATCCCAAGCAATTCAAGCAAATATTGATGATATTACAGGTATAACCCGTAAGTCATTCGTAATCGGTAAAATACAAATATAAGAATTTAAATCAAAACAAAATATACATTTCAATATAGCCCTTGTTTGAGTCACATTTTATCAAAAACTCATTTTCAATTACTCATTATCTAATAAAATAATTTTACATGTAAATCCAATTTTTTTTCATATTTTTAAACTAGGGGTTCAACCAAGCCTATAAATATGATGTGTAACATATATAATAGGAAAAATTGCAGCAGAAGCCCTAAACTTTTGAAACATTAATAGACTTTTCTCAAATCTTTGATTTGTTGTAGCCGTCATCCATAACCTTTACAAACGTTGCAGGTAAAACCTATTTTGGACGGTTTCCATCCACAATTTCGTTAGTTGACCAAAAATTTAACTTTGACTACATTTTTAGGGTCTGTTTGAGCCACATTATTTCAAAAAAATATATTCTTAAACAGTGATTTGACATCATTTCAACTACACATTCTTCAATAAAATCATATTACATGCAAATAAAAAAATTTTCCTTATTTTTTAACCACATATTTCCTATCAATACACTATTCAAAAATGCATTATTACCAAAATAATATGGCTCAAACACCCCCTTAATATTTTAAACATGGTCACGATCTCCACAACGAATCTTTTATTTTTATTATAAATAACTAAATTTAAAGCCTATAAAAATAAAAATATTTTTAAAATTAATTAATTAAATGGAATGATAAATGTGAATATTTTACCTTCCG